CAGCCTCTCTGACCCTCACCTTCCTCATCTGTAAATTGGGGATGATACCATCTATCCCACAGGGCTATCCTGAAGATGGATGCTTACAAAACCATCTGGAACATAGAGATACTCACTAATTCGGTAGAACAAACCATGGGACAGGCTCTAGTCTATGTGGGGGGGACACAAGCATGAATACAAAACGAGTTGCCTTTAAACTATTCAGTGCAGAAATGCTATTAACAGGACTTCATTTTCTGCCTTCCCTATATCAGTCTTCTTTTAGGATAGCAAAAGGAGTTTCAGGAGTTGAATTCTTTGCCTTGGTAAACCTTCACCTCTGTGCTCTCAAGAGAGATCATGCTGATAGGGTAACAGCTATGGTTACATCTTCAATTCTCCAACGGGGGAAGATGGGATGGTTACTGAACGTCATGGGAAAAATGCTACTTTTATGCTTTCAAGTTATTATCATCACTGATCCTTAATTCTTTCATGAAGGCCTTACCTAAAGGCATTTCCATGGTGAAAGTGTGCTTATTCAGCACTTTAAAGTAAGTATGGAAAACAGATTCTCTCTCACTCTCTTCCCCCCTGCCTGTCCAGATTTACATGCCAGGTGAAAATTTCTGGTCATAAAATATCAATTCCCAGTTTAGCTACCTTAGTGACCAATTTCTGGCTCACCTCCTGATTTGGGGCTCAGGTTTTACTCTAAAAACAAAAGGGCTTTCCAGAAAAATACTAGTTCAGCTTATAAACAGAGGCTGAAACAAAGTAACTAGGGGGGAAAATGTAGGAGATAGCTCCTAAAATAAAATGTTAATAACACGAAGCCCATACTTCCCTTGGTGGAGCAATTCCACAAATCATAGAAAAATATTTTTCATTTTATTTTTTTTAAAGATTTTATTTATTTATTTGAGAGAGACAGAATGAGAGATAGAGAGCACGAGAGGGAAGAGGGTCAGAGGGAGAAGCAGACCCCCCGCTGAGCAGGAAGCCCGATGTGGGACTTGATCCCGGGACTCCAGGATCATGACCTGAGCCGAAGGCAGTCGCTTAACCAACTGAGCCACCCAGGCGCCCAATATTTTTCATTTTAGAATAGATTGGACGAGAGCCTTTGCCAAGAGCCAGTTGTTTTAAATTTTCAATTTGAATTTTGAGCAGGATTATACATGCCCAAGAACATCATGCTATTTTTAGCTAATAGGTAGGATTGCTGTGTCCACAACAGTTTGGGGCAATCAAGAGTGAAACTATTAAATAGCATCTCTCACTGTGGTACCTTATCATTTGGCACTTCTATTTCTATTTTAATATTTTCCAAAGCTTCATCATAAAAATTCTTGTAAAGCACCCATGCTAGGCACAATACAAAGTTCAACTAGATAGACATGGTTCCTATCTTCATTATGTGTTTAACCTACACTGAATAAACCAGATATATGAAAGAATCCCAAGGTTAAAGCATTCCCATCAAGCTGCCATCCAGCCCCTAAGTGCCCAGGGGAGATACACTAGGAAGCAACTGTCCTACACTTAACACCCTTCCAATGCTTGAACCCTCTCTATGTATTAAAAGGGGAGGGGTAATGAACCCGTTCTAAAATTGACTGTGACGCTGGATATACAACGCTGTGGATACACTAAAAGCCAATGAATTGTACACCTAAATGGGTGCACTGTATGCTAAATGAATTATATCTCAATTAAGCCATTAAAAAAGGGAAAAATTATTCTTACTGATTGTTCTAATTAGTCAAAGCTATTTTTTAAGCTCTCATGCGAAATGATATCTAGCTAAAGACTGCACTGGCTTGGCAATGGAGCTCAGTGGCCACTACGGAGCTCACTCTAATCTACCCCTGGCCATACATCTTTCTTTCCCTAGTCTCTCTTCTTTATTTCCCCAGTTCTTTTCCTGTTGTTCCTCCACTCCAACTAGGTCTTAGGTCTCTCAGGTATTCCCAAGCATGGTTTGTCCCAACTGGTGGACCTCAGACCTAAACCAACTGCTGACCCTTGGCAACTTTCCCTTCATGACCTTAGGCAAATCATGTCCTTGCTCTCCTGTCACTGTTCCGGTTTGCACAAAGACGGGTTGGAGTATGCAAACCTTTCCAGGTCCCACATTCTATGTGAAAATAAGACAAACAATGAATGCTTACGTGGTCCGAAACATGCAAAGTCTCTGCCATTTTGGCCAACAGACATATATTTGGATTATTCATTTTGTAAATGGCCATGTAATACAATTTTCCAAAGAACAGTATTTAATATATTCATAAAATGATCAACATGGAGTCCTTATTTTTAAAAGCTATCACTTTATCAAAGAAAATTCAGAGCCCAATACCGAATGCTCGACAGTCCCTCTGGACCTGTCTCTGAGGGTCCATTTTCGAAAAGAACAACAACAAAAAAAGCTTTTTGCATGTTGGGGCCCTGCTGGATTTACCAAAGCAAAGAAAGACGTTAGGACTGGAGTGGCAGAGCCTTGCCAACAGTGGTTCAACTAAATCCTAAGACAGGCTTTGTGTGGTAGAGAGACCTAACGTAAGACAGCACCTCAACATACATTATAAACTCTCAGAAATACGCACAGAGAGCAATACACGTTGGCAGGAATGAATCCCTTTATCCTGGACAACTTGCAGCTTTTTAGGCAAACCAGTTACATTCTCCCAATAAAACTCATAGAAATATGTAGTCACCAGTTTCCAACATACTACCACCAAATAAATTCACAGTATTGTTTCCATGTGCCCGTGGAACATCACAGAGCAAAACCGAAAGAAACACATCAATTTCTCCTACACACACACACACACACACACACACACACACACACACACACACAAACACACACCCACCCAAATATGCAAGAGAAACCATTTTCTTTGCAGAACCTACGATTGTCTAAGTTGTGGGCATGACACGATAAATACTGGTTGCTAATAAAAATCAGATGGATAGCTCTCCACTGAGAAGCAAAGAGCACACGCAGAAATAAGAAAACCAACCAACCAACCAATAACCCTAAGGTGTGTTTCTTGTCATTAACTGAACACCACACATGGAGAGAAATGACTCAAAGTGTCCATTTGCCTCCCTCTTTCCCTTGACCACAGACCAACAAGTTCTCCTGTTAGATGCCTCCCCACACTTCTGCCCCCATCACAGAAGCCTAGAGCAGAAGGTGGCAGGCCCCTCTCTCCTTCCCCTTCAGGCCCTCGCCTCGAGGCACTGAACAGGGGCGGGGGGGGGGGGGGTAGAGCGGAAAGGACAAAGGTAGGCTCTTCTCGATCCCTCATCACAGCTCGGCGACAGGACTCCCGGCCTCTCCCGTTCTCATCACGGAACCAGAGCACCTGCCCGGGCGAGGTCCCTTCCCCCACCCTAGTTAACCGGCCCACCGGGCCTAGGTGTCCAAGGAGTCCAGGCGCTGCAGCCCCAAGGGACAAAGGCCGGGCTTACGAAGAGGAGGGGGAGGCGAAAGAAGTCAGGAGCGGTGTGAAAACCCTGGCAAACAAAAGCGGGGCTGGGGGTGGGGTCCTGAGACTACCAAGCCAGGCTCGGGGGCTCCCAGAGGTAGCCAGGTTTGGCGGATTAATGCGTGTGGGGGAGGGGGCCGGTTAGAAAATTCCTTGGAGGAAAGGGATTAGGGAGCTGCGGGGACGCTGCGGCCGGCAGGCAGGAGGCTGCGGGGAGGGCAGAGGTCCCGGGGCGTAAAGGGGCACAGGTCGCGAGTGGGGAGAGGTGATGGCAAAGAGGTGAGGGCCACACAGGGCCCAGGGGCGGGAGAGCGGGCGCTCAGCCCCGGGCGGCGCTCCCCTGGGGCCGAGAGGGGCTCTCAGGAGGGGCTCCCGAGCTGCGCACCACACGGTGCTGGGGGCGTGAGGCGGAGGGAGTCCGGCGAGGGCGCAGACTAGTTGGGGGCTCAGTGTTGGAAAAGAGAGAGTTTGAGAACAGAACCGTAGAGAGGCCGGGGGCGGGGGGGGGGACTGCGAGGGGGCCTGACCCTCGTCCGCCCCACCTCACCTGGCGCCGGGTCGGAGTCCAGGTCTAGTGCCGAGAAAGCGCCAGCTCCGGCCAGCCCCTCCGTCCCGCGCGGGAGACCACGGACACAAAGCGGGGCGCGCGGGAGGAGGGGAGGAGGGAGGGGGAGGGGGAGGGGAGGGAGGGGAGGGGAGGGGAGGGAGGAGGAGGAGGAGACGCCTGAGGCGCGCGACGGGGGGGGGGGAGGAGGGGCGCCCGCCGCCCTCTGCCTGGGTCACGGGGCGGGGCGTGCGGCTGGAGGCCGCGGTCGGCCCGCCAATGGCCACCCCGCCGGCCGGCTGGCTGGCTGGGGCGCGCCATCCGGCAGCTCACCTCGGCACCTGGGCCTCGGCTGGCCCCAGCCAATCAAACGCCTTCATTTGCATACCCGGCCCCGCCCTTTCGCCCAGCCAGGGGCCGGCTCCCCGAGAACACAAAGAAGGCCCCCCGTAGGGGGAGGGGGTCCACTCCCGAGTGCCTACCCCGACGGCCTAGCATCACCTTTTCAGTGCGTTTATGGATCTTTCTCAGTCACCCTGATGAGAGGAAGGAAGTGGGGGTCATAGGGGTTTGGACCAAGATCCCTTAAGAGGTCGCATCGCTTCGCCCTGAGGTCCTTCTACCCGAGTGCTACTCTCCTCCCGTCCCGCCGCACACATTTGCGTCGCTTCGCCTCTGAGCCCTGCACCTCCGCCCCTCTTCCCCCTCCCCTTTTTCCAGTCGCCCCAGTCTCTGTGCTTCCTTCCGTAGGCTGCTGCCCACTACTGGCCTTCCGCTGCACTGCAGCCCTTCTCCGCAGGCTCTGAGCACAGCCTCCGAGAGATGCTTCCAAAGCCGCCCAAACCAGAGAGGAAGAGGTTACTGCCCTAAGGCAGAAGGGGCCTGATCGAGAGGCTTTGGTACCTGTGATGGCAAAAAGCCGACACTTTGGTCCAAACTCCCCAAATCATCTTGTCCAACCTTCCATCTCTTACCTTCAGGTCTGTACTGGGCCACAATGGTGACTGACTGACCAGCCCGTTTTAGAGCAGCTGCAGCCTGCTCGTGGGTTGCATTCCTCAGGTTCACGCCATTCACCTGTCCAAAGAGAGGAGCTATGAGCCATCCCCAAAACAAGAAAGGCCGTCCTCTGTCATAGCAGTTAGGAGAGGGAGATGGGTAGCCCATCGCTAAGCCTACTCAGCTGCGTTTCTCAATATCCCATCCTTGCCCCTAAGACGCGACCAAAAGAATATGACATCTCTGGTGTAATAATTATCTTTGTGGGGGTCAAATGCCAACCAGGGTTAAGATCCAGCACACAGTCATTTCCTCCTCAAGGATAAGTCTGGGCTCAGTCCCTGGCACTCCCTAAGGTCATCTCTAAAGAGAATATTAAGTTTTCTCCAGCTCAGCCTTCCCCCATCTCAAGAAGCATTCCTTGGAGAAAGCAAGATCTTCCCTCCTCCCTTTCAGATTGGCATGGCTCCCATTATCCCACCTCTCCTTTGTCTCCTCACCGATAAGATCCTGTCTCCCCTGCGCAGCTCCCCACTCAGGTCAGCTGGGCCTCCTGCCAGGATGAAGGAGACAAAAATGCCTTCTCCATCCTCTCCTCCTACGATGTTGAAGCCCAGGCCTGTGGAGCCCTTGTGCAGGATGATCTTGCGGGGCTCTCTGGGGGGAAAGAAGTAGAAGGGTAAGGACAAGGGGGCTATAAACTGTTGTCCCTGTGAGGGCCAGCCTAGGACAAGGCCCATACTGCTGTAGCATGACTAGGTCCCTTTATGTATGATAGCCGGTTGCTTCCTTCCTCTCCCGAAACCTGCTTGGCTGCTGTCTTCTGCCAGGTGCCAAGTTTCTGTTCCTCTTCCCTCCCTTCTTCCTGAGGGCTTGCAGTCAGCTTCCCAGTGGACAGTCCCCTGCTCTCTCAGTTCAACACACCTGGACCCTGTCTGGAGACCATCACCTCAGAGCCCATTCACCCATCCTCTTTCTCCCCAGATTCTCCTATCCCACCACCAGCGTGAGGGACCTGGGCCACGACAAGGGGGACCGGTTAGGGGCACTGGAAATCAGCCTGCGGTTGAGCGCACTCACCATCCGCAAAGTGTACCTACTTCCTTTGCACATGCTCCTCCACAGTCTCAGAATTCCACGCACCAACTGTGACCCCTCCTACCTTCCCCAACCACAGATTTGGTCACGAGCTACTACTAGGTGTGCCCTTGCCAGGTGATGTGGGAGACAGGTAAAGAAATCCCAGGTCCCCAGAAGGAGCTGAGGAGCCTAACTCAAGAGAGTTAACGCATGAAAACTCCCAACTGCGACTAACCATGTTACGTCTGGGGCAGCCCTCTGGAAATGGTCAGTGTCATCAGGTGAGAGCTACGGCCGCTCGCGTGTATCCACACAACCCGACTCCCAGCACACTTTTCCTGGCCCACCGCCTTCACTCGAAAGCATCTTTCCTCAGAAGAGCCCCAAGTCCAAGACTCCTCCTTTGTTGCTCCCAGTCTTGGGTGCGAGAGGCTCCCGCCCTGAGTCCCGGATGCTCTTCGCTCAAATCCCTCTCTCCTCCTACCTGGCATCCCCTCCAGGCCGCAGCGAGCGCAGAGGCCAGGCCCACCTCTGCGAAGCCCTCCTCCAGGCCGAGGCCGAGGCCGGGCCCAAGCCCAGGGCCAAGCCGGAGCCTGAGAACTTGCGTGCCCTCTCCATGGCTCCTCCAGCCCTCCCCCCCCCCCCCGCCTTCCCCCTGTCCGCCTACCCTTCCGGCTCCACTGCAGCCTACCAGGCCCCACCCCGCCGCAAACCTGTCCCCCGGAGCCCCGGGCCGGCCGGACCAGTTCCACGGCCCGCCGCCGCCGCGGCCGCCGCCAGAGTGGGGCGGGGCCGTTCCCTGGGAGGCCACCGGGCCCGCCGGCCTCCCAGCGTCCCGCCAACCCCGCCGCCTCAACGGCTTTTTTCCTCTAACTTAGAACGCCTGCCGCAGAGGGGCGCAGCAACTGTCTTGGGAAAGGAAGCCCCCGCAGCTTCCACCTCCTCAGCCCCCTACACGCTCCACCCCCCCCAACCCCCGCCTTACTCGCTACTTTCGGATCGGGGCCACACGCTCGGCACTCCCCCTGATGGTGGAACTTGTCCCTGCAGCTCCCTCTGTCCCTCCCTAGGGCCCTAAGGGCTGAGGGAGGGCCGCAGACCCCAAAGAAAAATGATGAAGACTTTCTCCTCTTCTTGGCCATACTACAAGGAGACCCGAGGCTAGCCAGAAACGGATTCCTATCCTCTTCATCCCTAAGTAGGATAAAGGGGTGGCGCGGGGCGGGGGGGGGGGGTTTACCTGGTGAAGTCCTCCTCAGCCAGCATGTGCCTAGGAATAGGAGAGTAGCGGGCAGGGGGAACCTGAGGAGGAGCAGGGTAGCTGACCTTGCTCTCCACAGCCCCAAGATAACCCAGGCTGGAATTATGGCTTATGTGGTTGTCAGCCAAGGCAGTAAAAGCTGGAATCAAGAAAAGGAGCGAAAAGTTCAGAGACCACCCCATGTAGGTCCCTACCCCACCCCCGCCAAGGACTGGGGCCCCACACCCCACCTCAGATGCAAAAGCCACCAAGGGATGCTGATTCCTCAGGCCTCTCCTCCCCTCTCCCCCCCACCCCCCACCCCCGGGTTCCTCCTCCACAGTCCCTTTCTGAATCCTGGGCTCACTCCTGTGAGTCTTAGAAAGAGCTAAAGTCAAGCAGTCTACAAAGAAAGGCATGACTAGAGGTGTGACTAATAATAATCCCTCACATCTCTATAGCCTAATACGGTTTTCCAAGGGCTTTCTCGTCCATGATCTCATTTGATCCTTGCAGCAGTCCTATGAGGAAGGCAGCCCATATATCATTAGCTCCGTTTTGCCAAAGAGGAAACTAAAGACAGGTGAAAGGGACCCATCCAAGGGCACCCAGCTCTAAGGAACAGAGCTGGGCTCCGGACTCAGTTCTCCTGAGCACTAGTGTGTGCGCGCTCTCTCTCTGTCCCTCTCTGAACAGGAGAGTTGAATTCCTTCCCCTCCGGAAACAGGGGGGCAGGGGCTTCAGGCCGGGGGCAGGGCGGACCGGTACGTACTGCTGGCGTAGTCAGGGGGTGCATACATGTCGTTGAGGTGGAGGCTGCCTGGCTTGGCCACCTTCAGATAGACCATGTCAGATGTGTTCTTCAGTGAAGCCACAGCTTCCTCGTGCCTCACATCCTGCAGATTGGTGTTGTTCACCTAGAAGAGGAGAGGCTTTCTTAGGGCTGGCACTGGGGAGAAGGGAGGGCCTCTCCAGGGAACCCCAAAGGTGCCCTTCCAGTGAAATTCAACAGGGCTCTCTCTAACGGAGACCCAGGGTAGTGCTGTGAGAAGTGGAGAAGCATTAGGATAGCAGGGCAGAAGGGAACAGCCTTACTCCTTGCCTGACGCCCCAGGCTGAGGGAGCCCTAGCCATGAAAAGAACGAGGCCCTTGGTATCTGAGTGCACACAACTCAGATGGTGATGATGCTCTTCAAACCCGCCCCCCCCGACAATGCTGGCGGCCCCTGAATGAGGTTCAGGTGGAATGAGAGCCTACTAGCGCCCCACCTCCCCACCCTACCCTACCATTTGGGCATCCCCAAAGGCTGTCTCACCGCCAGCAGCCGGTCCCCGATCTGCAGGCGTCCGTCCTTCTGAGCAGCACCCCCCTCGATGATCTTGGTGATATAGATGCTGTTGTCTCCTGGGATGTGCTGGTTGCCAATCCCCCCGGCAATGCTGAAACCCAGGCCTGGGTGGGGGCCCGAGGGGAGCGGGAGAGAGCCACAAGGAGAAGTTAGAGTGCTCAGTCAATCCCAGACCCAACTCCCCACCGAAGCCAACCCACTGGCCCCATGGGAGCACCCCTCACCACCACCACCCACGGCGGGGAGGGGAGCCCAGACACTAGGCTGCCATCCCCAGGTCAGTAAGGGGGAGTGAGATGGGAGGTCAAGAAAGAAGCCTGTGAGCTAGAGCGGGGCGTCAGGCAAGGAGTAAGGCTGTTCCCTTCCATGTCCTACGGAGCCAACCAGGGGCCTCTGGCCAGAGCACAGGAGCCCAGAGGGCCGCACCTTTGGGCCCTTTGAGCAGGTTGACCTCCATGATGGTCTCGGGCGGGGGCTGTCTCCTCCGCACCACCAACCGCACCACAGGGCCCGCCTCCTTCAGCGCCTCCACGGCCCGGCTGTGCACCACCTCCGACACGTCCACCTCATTCACCCTCAGCACACAGTCATTCACCCTGCGGAGGAAGCCCCGGAGGCATGACACCCTGCCACCGCCCCTCCACCCCCTCTCCCACCTCTTCTTCCTTCCTTCCCTCCCCGCCCCTCCCCTGCCCCCTCTGAGATCTAATAAAAGGGTCATCCTGCCGGGGCAGCCCTCTTCCCCTCATGGCCATCCTGCCCCTGCCACCCTCAGCCCAGCTTTCAGGCCACCTCACCCCAGCCTCCCGTCCATGGCAGCTGCTCCACCAGGGATGATCTTGGTAATAAAGATGCCAGGGTCATCGGGGACATGGGGGTTGTCGATGCCACCTGCAATGCTGAAGCCCAGGCCGGAATTGCCCTGCAGAAGGGGGGCAGAGGGGCACAAGCCCGCTCACTCAGAGGGCATGAGGGAGGGTTCTGGATCTCCCCACTTCCCCCCACCCCCGAGAGGCAGGTTCTCCAGGCCTCAGAAGGGGCCACGGCACAGGCCGGCACACAGCTTCCCAGCCTGTGCCGACCGACCGTTCTAGCATAGAGGCCTCAGCAAAGCCATCCCTTCCCCAATTCCCCAGGCCTCAGCGAGCAAGGTCAATTAATATCTGTTAGTTAGTTGATTGATTGATGCAGTACTGGCCTCCAAGAGCCACTGTTCCCCCCCACCCAGTTCTCTCAATCAGGTGCCCCCCCCCAACGAGTCTTGAGACTGAGGTCCTGGGCCCTTCCCTTTCCTGGTCTGAACCCTCTCCTCCCCTTTCCTCCCGACCCACTGGCAAACTCACCCGCTCAAGTACTATTTCCTCATACTTGAACATGCCATCGCTGCCATTCACCTAGGGGAAGACACAGGCACTTCCCTGAGCGCTTCCTGCCCTCTCCCCCACCCCCACCCATCTGCCCCCGATCAACCCGCTCCTCCCCCACCCCCCAAAGAGTAGCGGCCGAATTGACCCCAGGACACCTCTTGGCCACAAATGGGGACAGGCTGACCCTGAGGAGGCCACACCCCTCCCTCACTTCCAGCCATATCCGGCTGACCCCATTTAGCCCAGATCAATTGTCTGGGACTGAGCCAGCCAGTGGTGCACTCACTGAGAGGCTGGGCTCCAGGGCTTCGGGGTTCTCTTAGGAGGGGTGCAGCGCTGGCCTAAGGGGGATGGTGGAAATGGAACATGGTGGGCAAACCACACCACACCTAGCATCCATGGGGGCACACCCAGTGGCCCCGATGGGGACCTATTCCCCTCCTGAACCGTAGCTCACCCTGACTTAGGGATCACAGACTCCCACCATGTCCATGTCAGGACTGGTAGGACAGCAGACACCATCTTGTCCAACCGCCCTCATGTGACAGACGGTGTGACACTGAGGCCCAGAGAGGTCTCCAGGTGCTCTTTTGATTAAATCAAGCTGCCAAGGCCACGGGTGTTTTGGCCACTCACCGCCTTCCCCAGCAGACCTCATGAGAAAAGGAAAGGTGCACCCTTCAGAATACCCCCAGGAACCCTCCCTCCATATCTCCTCTGTGTCCCCAGGAACCTGACTCTTCAAGCGGACGGAAGGAGTCAAAGTCCGAATCCATTTTCTACCAAGGGGCTTTTGATCCTCAACTCTTTGTGTTTCCCAGCAGAAAAAGCCGGGGTAGGATCTGGGTGGGAGTCAGAGGCAAAGCCAGGGGCGGGATGGAAGCGGAGTGGACAAGGTTCCCCAGGAGGGAGAAGCTCATAACCCATGGCCTGACTGGCAGCAGAGTCCCTGGCCTTCAGTATACAGCAGCCAAGGGAGGAGAGGCAAGGGAAGGGGATGGAAGCAAGCATTGTTCTGAGCAACCCACAGAACTGGCCTCCCAGACAAGACATACTTGTGGCCATTGTCAAGTGAAAATGTGAGTGTGGGCAGACAAGTAGTCCCTGCTCCCTGTGCTCCCACTCTCATCCCCAAGAATGGAGGAACTCCCTTGCCTCTCTCCCCAGGTATCGCAGCCCCCCTCCTCCATCTTTCTCTGGCTGCGTTGCCCCTTTCCTGACCCCTGGTGTCCTCCTCTGAAGGGAGCTGCAAACCTAGGGTGGGGGCTCCTTCACATGCCCTGCTCTACTCCCCCCCACACACACACTCCATTGCAGCTTTGGCTTGGAGAAACAGAGAGGGCAGGCGGGTGGGGGGGGGGGCGGCCTGGCGAGTCATGCCTCCACCTTTTCAGGGCCTGACCCCAGGACTTTATGCCCCGCAGCCCTGGGAGTTGGTGGGAGGACCCCGGCTGCAGCCCCCGATGGCTTTTCAGAGCCCCGAAACCAAAACAGCTGCCTGAAGTAACATGCAACAGACACGCAGGCAAAAGGACACCCATGCATCTCTCTACGCATCTGGTGTACCATGTGTGCCCACATGTGATAAGTAAGCCATGCTTCCAGCCCAGCTCCAGCGAGAACCAGAGGCTCCAGCCTCCCACTGCCCCGCTCAGGGACCCTGCTCCCTGGACCGGGGGCCATCTGGGGCTCAGCCCTGGCAAAGAAACCTTGACCAACTGGCCCAGCCTTGGGACTGGTACCTGTCTGCCAGTTGAGCAGGATAAGCCTGAGAGAGTGTTTGCAAGGGTAGGGCCCCAGGATACGGGGTGGGGGGGGGGGAAGGAAAGACGGGGACTCACTGGAGAGGGCAAGGAGCCAAGGCAAGGGCCATGGGGAGCAGAGAGTGTGGACAGACAGAAGGCCAGAACTGAGGACTCTTCTCCCTAGGAAGTCCCCACCTTTGCTTCTGAGTGAGAGCACATTCTATCCCCAGAGGAGGACAGAGGCGGCCAGAATGGTCACCAGCTTGGGGCAGGCAGCACCTGCCCTCGACAGCAAAGCCTCTTTCTCCTCTTTCCCTAACCTGGGGGCTGCGGAGCCAAATAAGCAGACAGGCCCTCCGCTATGCATGCCAAGGACCTGGCTCTGCCGGCCCAGCCTCCATTTTGCTGCTTCTCCCACAGATGCTCCTTCCATTTTCTAAGCTGGCAGCTTAGACTGGGAGTAGAATCCGGAGTTGTGCCCAGCACCCAGGGGTTCCCAAGCTGTGCCAAGTCAGGGCTCGGGGGCCAAGTTCTCTCACATCTGGAGGTACCCAAGGGGGACATGCCCCACTGGGGCCAGTCCTGCACCAGGGCAGCTGCCCCTTGCTTGGCTCCAGGCACCATGCCTGCTCTAGAGCAATGAAGCTTGCTTCTGTCCCCCCATCCCCTGCATTTGGGCACCCCCCCCCCAGAACACACACACTTCAGAGCTGCTGGGACAAAAGAGTCCGTCCTTCTCAGCAGCCTCTCAGCCTTGCTTGGGACGTGTCTCTTGCCTCCTCCCCCTCCCCTCCCTTGCCTGTCAAGCGCCTCTCACCAGGGACAACACACACACACACACACACACACACACACACAGGCACACGCATGCACACACTTGAGCCACATGCTCACACACACATATACATGTAGCCACACACGCAGGCAAACACAGCTATCCCTGCAGCCTCATCTACAGAGACACCTCCACATTCTGAGAGACATCCCCACATGTCCATGTGCACATTCACACACAAAGGGACTGGGACGGAAAGGGACTCATGGCATTGAGAGATGAAGCTCCACCAGCCGGGCACATGGGCCCCCTCGACATAGATTCACAGGAGCTCCATTGCCTCCCTCCACACACCTTAACATACATACACACATATGTCCCCCCTACGCAGAGCACCATGCCCCCTCCTCCCCTCCTGTGGAGACACACACCACACACAGCCCCCGCAGAACCTCCCGCCCCCCGCCAGACACAGAGACGCTGCTAAACCCCCGCACTGAGACAAACCCAGTTCCCCCCCACAGGAAAATGTGCCCCTCCGCCATACCTTCACCTCCTGACACACACAGCTCCTCCCAATCCCCTCCAAATGGAGACCCCCAAACACACACACATCGGGAAGCATACATTTCCAACCGCCTCTCTTGGCCCAGGTGAAACGCTAGGGCTCGGGTTCTACTGGCTTGAGGCCTCCAGGAACCCCTGCTGCACCCCCAGGCCTCTAGGCCCCCACTCTCCAGCCCCCCCCCCGGTTCCCCCCCCCCCCCCCCCCCCGCCACTGCTGGTCCATACCTGCTCATACCAGTCCCGGTTGGTACAGGTGCACTCGGGCCACCAGCTGGGGCCACTGCCGTTGAGTTTGGGGGTGCTCTTGCCCGGGACTGGCTTAGGGGGCACTGGCCCCACATCCCGGCCGGTGGGGATGAGCTTGGCCTTGGTGCGGGGGGTGGGGGTAGCCCCCGCCTGTGAGGGCAGGGTCTGCGAGCTGTAGCCCCCATAGCCCGCGCTGGCTCCATTGCCCCCACCTGGCCCATAGGGGTCAGGCACCTGCCAGTCCCCATAGCCAGGAGGCTCGAGGCGCCGCAGGGCAGCCAGGCGGGTCACCTCATAGCACTCGGGGCACTTACAGCAGTGCTGGTGCTTGTGCATGGCACTGCCCCCCGCCGCCCGGACCCCCCAGCCCACGCCGGTTTCCACGCTGCCGCCGCCGCCGCCGCCGCCACCGCCGCCGCCGCCGGGCTCCCGGGCACACTCACACTGCTCGGACCAGGAAGGGGGGGGGCACCCGTGGGGGCGCTCGGGCGGAGCGGGGCCTGGGGCCGGGCGGGCGTCCCGGGGCTTCTGCCCCCACGCTGCCCCGCACCCACGGCTCCCCCTCCAGCACTGGCGGCTCCGTGTCGCCCGTCGTGGCTCCTGGGCCGAGGCCCAGCGGCAAAGAAGAAGCGGGAGCCTGGGCAGAGGCTGGGCGCTGGGAGGACCGCTCCTGCACTGGTCCCCAGGATGGATCTGAGTGGAGTCAAGAGCATCTCTCCCTGGCTCCCTTCTCAGTTGATTCCAGCCAATCAGCGTGCAGAGTCAGGCAGCGGCAGCGGCAGCGGCAGGAATGCTAAACAGCGGCTCCTTAAAGGAACAGAGGCAGTGGCGCCCCCAGGCTCAGCCCCAGTTCCCCAGATATCTGGGGTACCGCCGACCCTAAAGCGGGGACGGGGGATTTGGGCCACGGGGGAGCTCAGCCCCCGATCTGGTGCCCCCACATCTCCAATTTCAGCCCGTCCTCCGCCCACTCCACCCCACCCCACTTCCAAGAGGGAGTTGCAGGGAGATGCTCAATGGGTCCCTGGGCTTGCTCTGAGCTGGGGCTAGCAGAAGTAAAGACTTGAAGCAGCAGAATGGACCAAAGGGACGTTGGAGCAGGGCAGGGAAGGTGATCTTTCTTAACGGGGGACCGAGGAAGAGGGCAGCATATATGGCTACTCTCCTGGCAGTGCCTCCACCTCGGGACTATTGTTCTCTCAACCTCTAGGCCTGAAATGACCGCAGTCTCACACTTGACCTGCTTCCATCACTGGTGAGCGACTCAAGCCTAGAACAGGAGGAAAGGAGAGCTCTAAGCTCTTGTCCCTGGCCCACAGGCTCCTGTCTCCTTCGCCCTATTCCCGCATGGTGATGATGGGAGGAAGAACTTCAGGCTGCCAAGAGGAAAGAGAGTCCAGGGCGGAAGGAAAGGGAAGAAGAGATCTGAAGTGAGAGAAACCATTCCAGGGGACCCGGAGAAGAACTTGGGAATACTTGTCCAAGGACATCTCCTTAGCCTCCCCGGCTCAGCCGGTTGAGGGACAGAGGCGGGATGACATGCAGGGAAGACCATCTTTTTTGCCGTTCTTGTGTTGTCCTTAGCTACCAATTATCGAGTCTTTACTCTAAGTGCTCTACATGCAAACAAAACCCCTACCAAGATGCTACTATGCTTATTTTAATTTTACCAATCGAGAAATCGAGGCTCGGAGATGTTAACACAGCTGGAAGTGACGGAATTAGGATGCAGACCCTGGCTATTTGATTCCAGCACCCATGCTCTGAACCACCTTGGTACAACAGGTCTATTCTAAGTTCTCCTGTAGAATGTAGATCTCAGTTCAATTCAACAAACGCTCGTTGCACACCTACTCTATGCAAGACCTCGATCTAGGTCCCAGGGATACAGAAATTCGTTTTTTTTTTTTTAAAGATTTTATTTATTTATTTGACAGAGAGAGAGAACACGAGAGAGGGAACACAAGCAGGGGGAGTGGGAGAGGGAGAAGCAGACTCCCCGCGGAGCAGGGAGCCCGATGTCAAATGCCGGGCTCAATCCCAGGGCCCTGGGATCATCACCTGAGCCGAAGGCAGACACTTAACGGACTGAGCCACCCAGGTGCCCCCGGAAATCCATTCTTAACAAACATTCATCTAGCACTTGCTGTGTACAGACACTGTTCTAGGATTTGGGGATATAGCAACAAACAGAACAACATTTTATCAGGTTGAGGGAAGTATAGAAACCTCACCTCCTTTTAAATATCTTTACCATGTCCCATTTGTAGTATAGTATTTTACGGTGCTGTGGGGAAAGAGAGAAAAGTCGATCAGAGAAGAGGATGTTGGGGGAGGGGGAAGACCCCGGGTTGTGATCATCTTTCAAGTTTTTTACCACTACATTTTAATACGAAAATTTTCTTCTTTTTAAAGATTTAATTTATTTATTTGACAGAGAGAGAGACAGCGAGAGAGGGAGTACAAGCAGGGGGAGTGGGAGAGGGAGAAGCAGGCTCCCCACTGGGCAGAGACCCCGATGTGGGGCTCGATCCCAGGACCCCGGGATCATGACCTGAGCCAAAGTCAGATGTTTAACAACTGAGCCACCCAGGCGCCCCCAATACGAAAACTTTCAAATGTAGGGAAAATTGAAAAAATGTTGTAGGGAACTAAGGCTACCTGGATGCTCATTAACATTTTGCTACACTTGCTTTATCATGTATCTCTCCTCCACGTATTCTCTCCAAATTTTTTTAAATGAAAATTCACAAACATACAGAATAGTACAATGGGCATCTATCTATCTTTCTCATAGACTCAGCAACTGGTATTGTCTTGTTATATTTGCTCTCTCGATCTATCATGTAGCTACATTGTTTTCTGAACCATTGGAATGTAAGTTACAGATTTCATCACACTTCTCCCCTAATTTTTTTTGTTTTTTTTGTTTTTAAGATTTTATTCATTTATTTGACAGAGGGAGAGAACACGAGAGAGGGAACAAAAGCAGGGGGAGTGGGAGAGGGAGAAGCAGGCTTCCCGCCGAGCAGAGAGCCCAATGCAGGGAGCCAACGGCAGATGCTTAACGACTGAGCCACCCCAGGCGCCCCCACACTTCTCCCCTAATATTTCAGCATACATCTTGTATTCTCCTACACGACCACAATATTGTTATGACGTCTAAGAAAATTAACAATAATTTCATATCATCCGATGGCATCTGATGTCTGGTCCATATTCAAATTTCTCCAAATTTACCTTTTATGTTTTTAACATCAGAATCTAATCAAGTCTCCCCCATCGCCTTTGTGTCTTTAACCACTTTTAGTCTAGAACAGCCCCAATCTTTAAAAAAAAAACCCAACTTTATTTTGAAATAATTATAGATTTACAAGGAAGTTGCATAGTACAGAGAGGGCCCATATACCCTTCACCTAGTTTCCCTCAAAGATTACATCTTACATAATTATAGTACAATATCAAAACTAGGAAATTGACCTTGGTACAATGAGGGTATAATTCCGTGCCATTTCACCACATGTGGAGATTCCTGTAACAACCGTTGCAACAAAGATACAGAATTATTTTGTCACCACAGAGATCCACCTGTCAGCATTTTATCAGGTTGAGGGGAGTATAGAAACCTCACCTCCCTTTAAATACCTTTACTGTGTCCCATTTATAGTATAGTATTATACGGTTGTCTTAAATATTTCCTGCACATATATTGAGCTCCACATCAGACAATGTTATTGCTTCAGGTATCAAACATAATTCAGACACCTTAAGGGAAGGAAAGTCTATTGCATGTACTTCTATTTTTACTCATTCAATTCTTCTTTCCTGATGTTCCAAGATTTCTTCTTTTATCATTTTCTTTCTGTTTTGAGAACTGCCTTTAACCATAATTTTTAGGGTGGGTCTGCTGGTGATGTAGTCTCCTAGCTTCCCTTTATCTGAGGGTATCTTGACTTCCCCCATATTTCCAAAAGGTATTTTTACTAGGGGTTGGCAGTTCTTTTCTTTCAACACTTGAAATATGTTGTGCCACCATCTTCTGGCCTTCATGTTTCTGATGAGAAATCCACCCACATTTGAATTGTTTTTCCTCTGTAGGTAAGGTGTTGTTTCTTTCTTGCTGTTTTCAAGATTTTCTCTGTCTTGTTTTCAAAAGTTTGGTTATGATGTCTCTTGGCATGGGTTTCTTTGAGTTTATCCTGTTTGGGTTTTGTTCAGCTTCTTGAATTTGTAAGTTTTACCTTTTGCCAACTTTGGGAAATTTTCAGCCGTTATTCCTTGAGGCCTTTTTCCGGCCTCACCTTTTTTGTCGTCTCATTCTGGGACTCCAATGATGCGAATGTTAGGTCTTAGGGGATAGTCACTACATGTCTCTGAGGCACTGTTCATTTTTTAAAAAATTCTCTTTTCCCATTGTTGTTCAGATTGGGTAATTTCTTTTTTTTTTTAAAGATTTTTTTTTAAAAAGATTTATCTGAGAAAGAGAGAGAATGAGAGCACGGGGGGAGGGGCAGAGGGAGAATCTCAAGCAGACTCCCCACTGAGCACAGAGCCCACCAGGGGGCACGATCTCACGACCTCGAGATCATGACCTGAGCTGAAATCAAGAGTCAGATGCTTAACTGACTGAGTCACCCAGGTGCCCCACAGATTGGGTAATTTCTAATGTTCTATTTTCAAGTTCACTGATTCTTTCCTCCATCCTCTCCCTCCTGTTGATAAGCCCATCCACTGAGATTTTTTACTTTGGTTATTGTATTCTTTGATTCTAAAATTTCTATGTGATTCTTGATTGTAACTCCTACTTCTTTGCCAAGACTTTTTTTTTTTTTTAATTTGTTTCAACCTTGTTTGTAATCGCCCACTGAAGCATTTTTTATGTTGGCCGCCTTAGAATCCTTGTCAGATCATTGAAAGCTCTCTGTCATGTTGGTGTTGGCACCTGTGGATTATTTCTCATTCAAGTTGAGGGTGTCCTGGTTCCTGGTATGATGAGTGATTTTTTTTTTTTTTATCACATCCTACACAGTTTTGGATATTATGTTATGAGACTCTGGATCTTACTTAAATCTTGTTTTTGGTAGGCTTCTTCTGACGCTGTTGCCATCAGTGGAAGGAGCCACTGCCTGGTTACTGTCAGGTAGGGACAGAAGTTCAAGTTCCCCCAGTGGCGTCAGTTGATCCCTGAGGCAGAGGCTCCTCCCTGCTGCTGGGCAGGGATGGGAGTTCCAACTCCCCACTAGACCTCCACTGATACCTCTCTGACTGGGAGGGGTTGAAGGGCCTCTTTCCTGCTCCCCAGGTGGCTTCCACTGACCATGGGTTGGGGGTACAGG